TGAGAATTTCTTATGAAAATTATAGAATCTCTGGGAAGCCAAAAAGCTTGGCGACTCAACAGAGAGATTATAGTTATCCAGAAACCCCTCCCGAGAGGAGGGACAGAGGGAAGGTAGTCAGTGGATCAGTAGCTGGTTCACAGTCCATGTGTCCAACAGGAGAAACTGGATCTAGAAGAGCACATGAGAATTGCAGAGGGAGAAGACACAACTCAGTTTTTTTTAGTCCTGTCCTTCGGTCCTTTGCCACTCCTGTACAACTGGCCAAATCTAGCCAGAGGATGAGGCACAGAAGAGTCCAGGAAATACAATTTCCCATGCTACAAAAACAGAGCAGAGGAAAGGCCAGCATTGTTCAAGTAATGTTATATAACTGAGAAACATTTGCAATTTAATTTGCCCACTCTATAAAAATAAGTCTTAATATATTTATCACTGGCATCCATCTACTTCTGTTTCCTCTTTTCAACTCCTAAAAGTTTGTTTAGTTTTGTTTTCAAAAATATTTCAAAACAATGGTAATACCTATTTCATAGAATAAAATTTTGTGCTGTTTCTTAGTCTATGTATGGATAGGTACATAACCATCTTCACATTCAAAATTATGATTATTTTTATAATTATTCTACTATATTGTGATCTCTAACTTCTGAATAAGTTCCCTCTATAGATATTTGTGAAACCTTTATTTGGATAAAGAGTGTAGGTTTTCTGTACAGAGCCTTAAACCTTAAAGGAATAAATTGTATGAGGGTGTGTGTGTGTGTGAGAGAGAGAGAAAGAGAGAGAGAGAGAGAGAGAGATCAGGATTTAGTCCTGAGCATTTGTTGGAAAAAGAATGGACAATCCTTTATTGTAGTAAGCAAGGAAAGGTTAGGAGCAGAGACTGATAAGGTTCTGAAGTGGTGGGGAGAAAAGATTCCAGTTCTAAAGGACTGTAGCTGATAGCATCTTCTCCACCAGATACTGTGTGGAACAGCAAGAACACAAGGAATCTGAAGTTAAGATACTCAACTCATCCTTTCCCTCAAAGGGGAGTGGAGAATGGAATCAGTGTTTATTGTTGCCCTAGTTGTTACTTGATGCTCCGTAGTTTTCATCACCTTTAATATCCTTAACAAACTTCAGATGCAGAATTACTAATGAAGTCCCAGTGATGGAGTAGAAGGTTGAGAAAATTGATTCTGGAAAAAGTAAAGTGACTTATTAAAGGTCACATAGCAAATAACTGGCTGAGTCAGCATTACAACCAAGGCACGGAGAGTAACGAAGGAAATATAATGTAGTCCTCCCTGTTCTGTCTCAGAATGCCTGAAATAACTAAAAACAGTTAGAGGTCTGTGCCTCGTGGAGCAGATTAGAGCTCTGTGTCCAAATGATTACCCCAAACTGTTCTCAATTGTTAGAAAGGTTTAATGGGAGAGAAATTTATATCTCATAATTAAATAGAAAAGAAAGTCTTGTAACACAAATTGGACTGTGATTGGATAAGTATTGGTGTGAGTCATTTTAAATCAATGTACCAAAGACTGCCTTCAGATTTAAATAATAGGGTTACCATGTAGAGAGACTAAATGCATCAGAAGTAGGGAGCGGTCAGACCACCAGGAGAGAAAAAGGTGGTAAAAACAGTGCCGCTGGGATCATTAAAGTCATATTTAAATCACTTTGCATTTTCAAAAATCACCCCTTTAATTTTTCAACCATGGATGAGAAAAGCAAAGCTGGGGCTTTCCTATTTTGTGCGGAGGGAATGCCTCCCTACCAGAGAGCCTCTTCTTTTATTTGCTGCTTACTCTATGTTTCTGATAGGAATTTGTAAGAGGAGGGTGTTCATTGCAAGAGAAAATAATATTCCATAACACACAGAGAACGTTGCTTGTAGTTGTAGAAAAATCACTGAAACAGAAGTTGACGGACTTGGATCTTATTCAAGTTCTATCTGCTGGAGAATGGGAAAATCATTTACGCTATAAAATCTTCCCTTCATTTTTTTAAAATTGTTTTTAGAATTTTTACTTATTTGACAGGGAGGGAGGAAAGAAGGCAGAGAGAGAGGAAGAGGAAGAGAGGGAGAGAGAGAACTACAGGTAGAAAGTGCCAGTTCTGTGGCATAGTAGGCTAAGACCCTGCTTGAGGTGCTGGCATCCCATATAGGCGCCGGTTCCATTCTTAGCTGCTCCTCTTTTGACCTAGCTCTCCCTTATAGCCTGGGAAAGCAGTGGGGAATGGCACAAGTGCTTGGGCCCCTGCACCCACAAAGGAGACCTGGAAGAAGCTCCTGGTTCCAGCTCTGGATCAGTCTAGCTCAGGCCGTTGAGGCCATTTGGGAAAGCAGGTGGAAGACTTTTCTCTCAGTTTCTCTCTCTCTCTCTTTCTCTCTCTCTCTCTCTCTTATAAATATAACTCCACTTCTCAAATAAATAAATAACATCTTTAAAATATAATAAATAAATGAAGCATTTAAAGTGGAAACTGTCATCTGCTGGTTCACTCCCTAAATGCCCACAACAACCAGGGCTGGGCTGGAGCTAAACCAGGGAGCCTGTCATTCAATCCACACATTCCTTGTGGATGGCAGGAATTCAATTAATTCAGCCATCACCATTAACTCTTAGGTTCTGCACTGGCAGGAAACTAGAGTCAGGAGACAGGAGTGAAACCCAGGTTCTCTGATGTGGAACACAAGCATCTTAACCACTAGAGTAAGCACCTGTTTCTTGAACTCCTTTTTTGTATCAATTGGATCAGGATTTAAGCACGTCATTAATCAGAGTTCTCCTAACTCCTGTGTTCTGTGATATATGCATGAGAAGATTTATTTTACAGCAAAAATTGATTCTTATCAATCCTCATTTTTATGTGTTTTTTTTTCCTTTTTTGTTATGTTAGGGAATGACTGAGTATGGTGAATTTGGTTAATTATAGGAGCATTTTGAGATGTAACTGTGAAACAGTATAGATGCAAGTTAGCCCTGATTACTCTATATTCAGTTGATCTGTGAGGGAAGCAGAGGAAGTATGCCAGGACTTCTGCCTTCCTCAGGATATAGAGATGATCAAAGACCTTGTTAAAGTTATCTGGGACTAAGATATCACTGTTAGGCTTTTGTTACAGGGACCTATATAATTTCTTCAACTTCAGATCCACTTGGAAGTCTGGAGACTGAGATAATCACCCTTGCTTTTTCATAGCGGAGGAGAAATCTCCTTGTATGGCACCCAGGAGAGCCAAAGAGATGATGCTTGATGCCAGTAGGTGCAGTGATTCCTCAAAACAGACACCTGTGCCTCCACCTATACACTAAACTTTAAAGAGCCTTGCCAGCCCTCAGGCATATCTGGCTATACTTCTGAGAACTCTGTTATTCTAAGAATTTTATTCAGAGTTTCCGAGTAGTGACCTGCATAAATCTTAGTGGAAATTTTATATGGGTGCTACATTTATGATAGAAGATTAAACAACCTTTGCAGAGATACAAATCTAATTATTTTGCTTTTTTATTAACAAGGATATGTGGGGAGCCTGTAATGAGAAGCTAGTCTAGAGTGTGAGCTGTAGGGGTCTTATTTGTCAGCCTGAGATACAGTCACATGAAGTAGATTGGAAATAAGGAATGGATTTTGACTTCAAATGATCATGTTACAAGGTGTTTGTGATTCATGAGATGTTCTGAGTGTGGGGAGGAAAATGGCAGGATAAGGTCTCGTTCAAATTGGTTCCTAAACCCTTCACAGCCCTGTAGTAGCAAGAATGAGACATAAATATTTGTTCATTAGTAGTTTATTTCTTTTTCATTCATTCTACAAATATCTATTGAGTCAGTGCTGTGTGCCAGGTACTGAGGGTATAGTGTGAATAGACATTTAGACAATGTTCCTTTACTTGAAGATAATGTTCCTAGGCAAGAGGTAAACAGTAGTAGTTTCTAGTAGGCAAGAGGTAAACAGATACTATGCACAGGACTGTAGGTATTAGTTACTGACAGTACTCTGAGCAAGAATGGAAGAAAATATTTGCAAACTATACATCTGATAAAGGATTAATATCCAGGATATATAAGGAGCTCAAAAAATCAAGAATAATAACAAAAAAAATTCAGTTCAGAAATGGGTTAAGTCTATAAAGAAGCAATTTTCAAAGGATGAAATAGAAATGGTCAACAGACACATGAAGAGATGCTCAGAATTACTTATCATCTACACTCACCCCAGTTAGAATGGCTATCTTCCAAATTAAAAAATATGCTGGTGAGGATGTGGGAGAAAAGGTACTCCACTACACTATTAGTGGGGATGTAAACTAGTACAGTCATTATGGAAGATAATTACTCAGAAATGTGAACAAAGATCTATCACATGGCCAATTCATTTCACTCTTAGGAATTTACCCAAAGGAAATAAAATCAGAATATAAGAGCATCAATTGATGACCAGATAAAGAAATTGTGATATATACATGATGGAATACTACTCAGCCACAAAAAGAATGAAATTCTGTCTGTCACTGTTGCTGTGGATTCACTTCTGGGAGGAGGAGCGTGGTGGGGGCAAGACGCCATAAACAAAAGCGTCAAATTGTTAAGTCAACAACAGGAGTCACTGTGTACTTACTTCTCTGTGGCATCTGTCCTTAATGTGTTGTCCAATGTGAAGTAATGCTATAACTAGTACTGAAACAGTATTTTACACTTTGTGTTTCTGTGTGGGTGCAAACTTGAAATCTTTACTTAATATATACTATATCGATCTTCTGTATATAAAGAGAATTGAAAATGAATCTTGATGTGAATGGAATGGGAGAGGGAGCGGGAGATGGGAGGGGTGCGAGTGGGAGGGAAATTATGGGGAGGGAAAGCCATTGAAATCCATAAACTGTACTTTGGAAATTTATATTTATTTAGATCACTCACAAAATAGCATGTCATAGATTTCCTTGATGTCATAGAACTGAATGTGTTAAGGGTTTGGAATTCCATTCATGCATTTGAAAGTCAACTAGATTGTCCAGAAGTTTACATGAATTTGTTTTGTTCTTTATTTTTTCACATTCATAGTGCCTGGGGACTGTGACCCCCTGCAGAGAACACCTCTACCAGGCTCTGCAAGTGGAGGGAGCGCCCGTGGCTGCAGTCTCTATAGAGCAGTGACAGAAATATCATGGAAGCATTCAGTTTCTTTTCCACACCGCCTGACCTGCAATATTCCACACTGCCCTTCTTTCAGGTCTACTGGGCTGGAATAATTCACTGGAGGACGGTAAGGAAGACAGGACCACCTTGATCGGGAAGGACATCTTCAACTGTATCCTTGCTGTAAAAACACTGCAGTACATTAGCATAGGCAAAGACTTCTTGAATGGCTTCTATTGGGTATGTTCATCACCACCGAATAGACAAGATGCTATCTCACTTGTCATTTTCTTAGGAGCCACAACAATACAGAACTCAACACGCAGGTCAGAAGAGACACACTAAGGAAATCAAAGGAAATGCCTGGAATCTGGCTAGTGTGTCCAAAATAAAGAGAGAAAGTCAAGGAGAAAAAGCAGCACTCAACCTGGCCACTCGCATGGGTGGTCGCCCTCGTTCCTCTGAAACCCACATGCTGGAAAGAAAAGGAGAGCAAGAAGGGACCAGGACAGAAGGACGAAGGAGTAAGGAGTGGTGGGAAAATAAAACAAACAAACAAACAAAAGGTATGAAACAGGCATGAGAGAGCCACCACAAAGCCACGAATGCACTAAAAACCACGTGTCAACAAGCTTCCCACGGCCTAGGCCACACGCTGCGCCGCCACACCCCTAGTCCCTCCAACGCAGGCTCCAGCTTGCTTCCTGGGCCACTTTCTCTTTGGGCCTCGCTCCCCCGAGATGGCGAGGAGGGACTGGCACTTGACTGAAGGATGTCGCGACTGTTCCCAGCTTAAAGTGAAGTGGCGGCCTCACTGCTCTTTCCTCCTGTGGGCTCTCTGCAGTCCACCCCGGGGCTGCACAGGAGACGGCCGGCTCTGATGCAACAGACATTGGAATTGTTTCAACATTTTAGCTACTATGAATAATACTGTGGTGTACATGGGTTTATAAATATTTGAGACATATTAAATTCTTTGGGTTTGATTGTATAATTATAATTATATAATTCAGTGAAATGTTTCATGAAGTCCAATTTGTCTATGTTTTTAGTTTTTGCCTTGTCTTCAGTGTCATATGCAAACAAACTGCCAAATTCAGTGCTGCTAATTGGTAGCAGTAAGGGTCCACTTTCATCATTTTGCATAAAAATATCCACTTTTGCCAACAACATTTATTTTAAGGACTATCCTTTCCCCAATGAGTGATCTTCACAACCTTATCAAAAATCTTTGTCCATAAATGCAAGTGCAATTAGGTCCATAGTTTTTCTTTTTTGGGATTTCTTTTTTTTAAATTACTGATTCAATTTCCTTGTTATAGGTACATTCAGACTGTATTTCATAATGGCTTGGATTTGCTGGTTTAGTTTTCTAGGAGTTTGTCCATTTCATTTATAGTATCCAATTGTTCATAGCACTCTCCTATAATTTTTATTTCTGTATCATTAGTAGTAATGTCCCTATTTTCTCTTTTGACTTTAATATTTTCAGTCTTACCTTTCTTTACCTTGTCCATCTAACTGAAGATCTGTTAATTTTGTTAATCTTTTCATAGAGTTAACCTTTAGTTTCACTTATTTTACTTAATATTTTTCTACTCTATTTTGCTAATCTGCTCTCATATTTACTCTTTCCTTCCTTATAGATGGGAGTTTAGTTTATTTTTCTTTTACCAGTTTCTTAAGTAATAAATTTAGGTTGTTGACTTGAAATCTTTCTTTTTTTTATAAAGATTTATTTATTTGAAAGCCAGTATGACATATACACACAGAGAGGGAGAAAGAGAGAGAGAGACAGAGAGAGAGAGAGACAGAAAGAAGAGAGAGAGAGAGCTCATCCATTTATCCATCTGCTGGCATACTTTCCAAATGTTCACAAAGAGCGGAGTTAGTCCCAGCCAAAGCCAAGAGCCCCAGACTCTGACTGGTTTTCCTACATCAGTGGCAGGGGCCAGAGAAGTTGGGCTATTTTCCTCTGTTTTTATAGGCACATTACCAGGGAGACAGATTGGAAGTGGAGCAGCCAGTCCTCACTCCAATATGGGATGCTAACATCATAAGCAACAGCTTAACTTGGTGCACCATAATGCCAACTCTCATTTCCTGTTTTTGAAGGTGAGCTTTTATTGCTATAATTTCCTTTTATTACTGTTTCTCCATCTCTCATGAGATTTGGTATGTTGTTTTTTCATTTTCCTTCCTCTATAAGTATTTTGGAATTTCACTTAGGATTTTTTTGCTTGACCCCTAGGCTGTGCCAGTGTCCCATATGGGCGCTGATTCATGTCCTAGCTGCTCTTCTTCCGATGCAGCTCTCTGCTATGACCTGGAAATGCAGTGGAGGATGGCCCATGTGATTTGGCCCCTGCATCCACCTGGGAGACATGGAAAAAACTCCAGGTTCCTGGCTTCAGCCTGGCCCAGCCCAGCCATTGAAGCCATTTAAGGGAGTGAACCAGGAGATGGAAGACCATTCTCTCTGTCTCTCCCTCACTCTGTAACTCTACCTCTCAAATAAATGACTAAACCTAAAAAGAAAAAGAATGCCTAATACAGAATTTCAGAATTCCTAAGGGACATAAAATATTGAATATAATTAGTTTCATGGAAGATCTTAATATTTTTGAATAAGTATTAGCAATACACATTTTGTCCATTTTTAACTGTTCTAGTTTTCAATGTCATTACTGAAAATCACCTGCCCAAAATGAACAATTGATAGGGTAAAATATAAACAGAATATGTATGAACTCTTATTGCTTTTTTTTTTACACTAATCCGTTGTCCATTTCCCTATAAGTGAAACAATGAAAAGTCAAAGATCTTAACCTGTTAAAGTGAGATTATTGTTTAATAGATTAAAGCATTATAAACTGGGAGACCTATGTTGACAAAAGTCAGATGTGAATACAGGGGCTTAAATGAAGCCAAAAGAAATTTTTGCTGACAAAAACTGGAAAAAAAAGAGTGTAAATTAATCCATATTTCAGGGCACAAATAATATGAAAGAACTTAATTGACTAACCAAAACACATCAACTAGAAAATGTTTCAAATGATATGTTCCATAAATATTCCTTGGAAAAAGGCAAAAACTAAGAATGACAAAAGAGACATCTACGCACATGAAAACTAAAAAATGAGGGGGCTACTTGAATTTCAGTTCAGGCAAACAGCAAACCAGTAACTAATTTCTCACCGTTTTATTTCTGGGATTTTCCCAAAGAAACTAGGTGAATAAGAAAAGAGAATGTGCTTTCTCAACAAACATGACTTCAGAAGAAATAACCTGGTTCCTATAAGTAGGTCAGTAAACCTAAGACGTTTCTATCTAGGAATTCTGGCACCATCACTAAGTGTGTGAGGGAGGAGGTACAGGGGCAGGCTTAGATGGATGTGTATAAAGATACATAGGAGCGAACAAACTGGAAATGAAATCAGGTGATGGTTGAAGTCTAATCATTATTTTAAAGCTCAGTGAAGCAGAATTGAATAATAAGACTGGTATTTGTGGGAAGCTTGCTGTCATTTTAGACGTTTGTATTTGTGGGATTTTGTAGATTTTCAAGATTATTTTTGCAACAACAGTGTTTCTTATAAGTTAAGCATTGATTTGAACTACAGAGCAATGATACGTATCTAAACTGTGATATTTTTCTCTTGTTTTCCTTGCTCAATGAAATTAGAACCCTTGACCGATAGTGCTGGAAGACGCATGAACCAATATTACTAGAAATTTTGCCTAGAGGAGACAAGATATTTAAAACATGAAACAGGTAGTGTTACATCATATAATCATCAGGAGAATTCAACCTTATTTATTTGCATTTGGCCTGTGAGCAAGTAACCAAAAAGTACAAATGAAAAAAAGAAGGAAGAACAATAAAAAACCATTTAAATAACCCAGGTAATTTTGTATGCAACTCTATCCAGCAAGCACGCCTCATACCAGAATGTGTGAAATAGGAGAGATGCATCTTCTGTTATTTCAGACTTCATTTTTGACATGCTTGTGTGCATGAGTGTTTTATTGCATTGAATGTGGCTTAAGTATTTAAGTATTAATATAGGTACATATACACATTTCTATACATACATACGTACAATCCTTTTTAGCAACTTGTAGCCCCAAGTCAATCACTAGTTCCCACTACAAAGGATCATCACTGCATATTTTATATACTCTAGCTGTAAAATATCACATGAAATTGTACAGTTTTAAATCACCTATTCTGTAGTCTATAGACATTTCAGAGGTTTTTAAGTTTAAATTTGATGCTGCACAGTTTTAACGCTACTTGTAGTCAGCAGTGCCTAACCTCTCCCAAGGCTGCCTCTATGCTTGTCAATGTGGGAAATAAGATTTTGAGGAACACTGAAAATCAGAGGGTAGAAATACAACTCAACACTATCTTTTTGCAATCACAGATGAAGTGGCTCAAGAACTTAGGGGGCCCCAGATAGGGCAGAATTAACCGCAGCTCAAATAAAAGTGTTTGGTAAAATAATGTTTTGAAGGAGTGAGAAGCATTTGATCAGAAGCTTTCAGTGAATACTCACATAGCTGTCAAAGTAAATATAAGAGAAAAAAAGTTTTTTTTTTAAAGAAAACATCAACAGATCAGAAATAAGTAGATACAAAAAGTGGTAGGGTATGCTGTAGAGCAGCTTCAAACAGAGACCTAACAAAATTCAGGCAAGGAGTCAGAGTAGTGGAAGGTATGGTTGTGTGAAGCCATTAGGGAGAGGAATGGAAGGGGGAACAAAGTGAAGTGTCCAATCAGAGTACGAGTAAGAGTGCACCCAAATGACTATTCACAAAAATGAGTATCTATGAATGAAACCATGAGAACAATTGCTTAAGGTATCAGGAGGCTGCCTTTCTACAGAAGATGAATCTCTAGGATTATTGGAATTTGGTGGGGGCTCTAAGCCCACAACCCCTCTTCCTCCTCCAAAAGAAGAGGGCCATAAGAGAGAGCAGAAAGCATTGATGGGAAAAATAAAGATAAAGAAAACATAAAATTATACTCTTCATGAGGGATACTTCAGGCTGTGAGGGTGAATGAGATCAGGAGCGAATTACAAAAGCTGAGGGAACAAGCTACCTGAATCAAAAAGATCAATGAGTGACTATATGGGGCCAGTGTTGTCATACAACAGATTTAGCTACTACTTGTGATGCAGCCATCCTATGTCAGAGTGCCAGTTCAAAACCTGGCTATTTGGCTTCTGATCTAGTTCCCCACTAATTCACTTGGGATGGCAGGAAAGGATGGAACAAGTATGTGGGACCTTGCCACTCATGTAGGAGACCCTAAATGAAGTTCCTGACTCCTGGCTACAGCCTGACCCAACCCGAGCTGGTGCAGTCATTTGGGGGAGTGAACCACAGAGTAGATCTTTCTCTTTCACTCTCCCCCTATCTCTGTCACTCTACCTTCCCAATTAGAAAATAAATCTTTTTAAAAAGAAGTAAATACTTGATTCACCCACAAAAACTTCAAACTGCTCCCTTACTTCTTACACAGTTTGTAGACCAAGAGTCTCAGGTTGGCAGGATGATCAAGGTAAAGACACAGAAGGAAGGATGCAATGCAATCAAGCAAACATCAAGTCAAGAAGGGCAGTGCTGCAGTGAGCTCTGCAAATTGTTTTAGCCCTCTAATGTTTCCGAATGTTTTGCCTTAGATACAATCAAGCTCTTCTCTCAAAGGATCGGACATCTTGCTTGCTGTTGATTCTCTTGAAACTATAGTTTCAAATATTTGCTAGCAGACTCCAAAGTAGAAATGGCAATAATTTGTCCTAGTGGAAAAGAAGTCCCTAGTCCCAGAGAATTAATATATTTTCAATAAATATTTCAAGTGAAATAACTTACTAATATATGCCAAAGAAGTTACTAAATTCTTTTTTTTGTTTGAAATGTTTAGAGCATTAATTAAACTAGTAGAAAGACATAAGTTCCAAGTTTTAGAATCAAACATAGATATCAACTCCAGCTTTTTTTTCTTAGCAGACATGTGACTTTTGTAATTTCTATAGGGTCAATGAGCTCCAGTCAAGGATGAAATTTAGCTAGCTTGAAGATTTTTGCAGAATATGAAATGATATAGTATATGTAAATACTTAGGTCATTGTTGCCTAACCATAAGCATTCAATATAGGTAGTTTTAAATATTATCTACAAATTGATGGAAATGTGTGGGGATATCAGTGTCTCAAGCCCTTCTGAGGCAGTATATGGCAGTGACACAAACTTTCCCCTTCATGATTTTGGTGGTCATCAAACTCATTAGGTACTTCTGTATCTATTATGGCGTAACACTGTTTATTTATTAGAAGTTTGAATTTTAAAAGATATTAAGCTAACATGAACAAAACAACTTTGATTTCTACAGCTTGACTGTAATCAGACACTTGAGCCTTAAGTAAAGATAAGCAAACATGTAAATGAAACATTATTATCCTAAAGGAGAAAAATAACAAGTGATAAATTGAGTTTTCAAGGTCTTGTTTATTTCCAAAGAACAAAAGATACAAGGCACAGAATTCAAATAACTAAAAATTCAAATCATTCAATCATTTAGTATCACATTGGATACAGTTAGACAAAATCCAAGGACATATTTTCAAGCTATAAATATTAATAAGCCAAGTTTGACTTCAAATTGTAACATGATTGAATCATCCAGATGTTCTTCCATTTATTTCGTTATTTTGATTTCTGCATGGGTATTCATTCTACCATAAAATGCCTTCAAAGATTGTGAAAATATCAACAGAAATTGAAAGATAGAAAAGAGTGGAATGCAGTATGATTCTTGAATCTTTGATTGGCTCATATCTGTTATTTATGGCTGTATTAATAATCTCATTGTCACACTTAGATTCAATGTGAAACAGTAGGTCAGATAAACGACCAACTAAAGGATGCAATGATATTCAGTCTCCACTCGAGTATTGTACTGTCTTTCCTTAGCCAGCATAGAAATTCACCAGCAGTTTGGCTAAAGCTTGTAAACACACATACACACCCAAAGACATCTCAACACACAATTGAAGAGAAAGGCAGTTGCTATCCTAACGATTATTTGTGAAAATGCAACATAGCTTTCTGAATTTTGAGTCAAACAATATGAGAGTTCTTCATCACTATTCATGAAAGATTGATTCCAGGTCTCCCTATAGATATCAAAATCTATAGATGCTTAAATTCCTCCCAAAAAATAATGTAGTATTTGCATATAACCTGCACACACAAACACATACACACACATATCCTGATTATGTACAATACCCAATACAATGTAGATGATATATAAATAGTTGTCACATGGTATTGTTTAGGGAAGAATGAAAAGAAAAAAATCTCTCCACATTCACTACAGACATAATTTTTTCCTCATATTTTTGATCCATGGTTGGTTAAATTCATAGGAGTAGAACCAATGAACATAGGGGAGCCAACAGTAATTACAGATGAGGCATATTTCGTCTGCCTGTTTCCTCTTCTTCATGTATGTGCAGTGTCCCTACCCGTCTATGCAGGTCTGTTGTGGTGCAGTGTGTTAGTGGGTTAAGCCTCCACCTGTGGCACCAGCATTCCATGTGGGTACCAGTTCGAGTCTAGTCGTTCTACTTCTGATCTAGCTCCCTGCTAATGCATTTGTGAAAGAGGTGGAAGATGGCCCAAGTGCTTGGGCTCCTGCAGCCACATAGGAAACCTGGAAGAATCTCCTGGCTTCAGCCTGGCCCAGCTCCAGCCATTGAAGCTATTTGGAGGAGTGAACCAGCAGATGGAAAACTTATCTCTCTGTCTCTCCCTCTGTCAGTAACTCTGCCTCTCAAATAATTTTTAAAAAAAAGGAATGGGCACAGACCAGAAAAAAAGTTTACAGTAGAAATTACAAGATATTAAGAGCCTTCATGGGTGGTGCTGTGGCACGGTAGGTTAACCCTCCACCTGCAGCAACGGCATCCCATATGGGCACTAGCTCTAGTCCCAGCTGCTCCTCTTCTGATCCAGATCTATGCTGATGGCCTGGAAAAGCAGTAGAAGATGGCCTAAATGCTTGAGTCCTTGCACCCATATAGGGGACCCAGAGGAGGCTCCTGGCTCCTGGCTTCGGATGGGCCCAGTTCCAGCCATTGTGACCATTTGGGGAGTGAACCAGTGGATGGAAGACCTTTGTCTCTGCCTCTCCCTCTTACTGTCTATAACTCTACCTGCCAAATAAGTAAGTAAAATCTTTAAACAAACAAACGAAAAAGGTTTCAGTACATGTTTATAGAACAGAGACTTCATTTAATCCCACTAGTAAGAAAATAAAACACATATTATTCCTTATTAATAAATAGGAAAGCTAATGTTGAAGTAGATTAATTAGATAAATCGTTATACATCAAAAAACAACAAGCTGGGGTGAAAACTACTATCAATCTAGATGCAAGGAACATATTCATTTTTATTAATATTTATTTATTTACTTAAAAGGCAAAATTACAGAAAGAGAGAAAAAAAGAGATCTTCCATCCACTGGTTCACTCCCCAAGAGGCCACAATGGCCTAGGCTGGGCCAGGCACAAGCCAGGGAACTGGAGCTTCACCCTGGTCTCCCACATGGGTGCAGGGGCACAATCATTTGGGTCATCTTCTGTCTTTCTCCCAAATGTAATATTAGCAGGGAGCTGTATCAGATGCAGTGCAGAAGGGACACAAACAAGCATCCCAACCGGATGCTTAGCCAATTGGAAAACAACACTGGCCCAAGGAACAGGTTCTTGGCATCCTTCCTTCTTGCATCCCCATGGGTCTCCATCTATATATGTAGAGCTCTACAGATCTCTTTGTTTTAATATAATTTTCTATTATTTCCTTTGAC